GATATAAAATCTTAAAGGCAAAATCAAGTTGTTTTTGATACTTGGAACATTGCCTGTTACTTACAGTATATTCAATTAAAAACTTATGCATTTGGACTTCTGTCGATTTTCAGATCGACATATTTTTGCGAAAAGACACTTTCGAACATGAATTTTATTAAAAATAAACTATGAAATCAGCTAAATAGTGTGTTTGCTGTCTTTGAAAGTAACGTCATATTTACCGAATTTTGACAAACTTTCTCGATTCAGCAAAAAAAAAAATAATAATAAAAAACTCATTAGAAACTATATATTTTTCTTATTTTTTAAAGTGAAGTTTTCTATTCCAATTTTATTATTCATACAAGTTAAATATATTATTAAATATTTGAAATCCCAACATACTGTTTGACCAAAGAAAAATGTTAATTTATATGTAAGAATGTTTAAAATCACGTTTTTACTTTAATAATTATATTTTATAATTACGACTACATTGATAGTAAATAATTGAATTGCAGTGTATTTTATACAGCATCTTTAAGCAAAGCACAAATAAATCCATTAAAAAAAAGAAAAAAAAAACCCCAGGTTTTAGGCTCAATTTTCAAAAATGTATATTTCATAAATCAAGCTGCTAACTTGCGGCTCCGTAACTATTATTTTGGTAAATATAATTCTAAAAATGGCTCTTTACGAGTAAAAGGTTGTCGACCCGACTTGTGCATGCCATTTTACGTAAGTCGAATTTGTAAATTGCTTACGTGTAACTACGTAATTAATTATTTAATACTGTATTTATGTGTACTGTACTGTACTGTACATATATTATTTTTTTTGTATAAAAGAATGGTTTACGAGAAAGAGTGCCCAGTACGTTTGCGTATGTGCTAGCAATTAGAGCAATAAAGTAATAAATCGGTACAATGAGAAAGAGAGAGTGAATGAATGTTTGAAATAGAATAATTCTTTGTAAAATTACATGTTACTCTATTCAGATTTTTTCTTCCAATTTTTGAGATTTACATTTTACGTAACTGCGAATGTACGTAAGTCGCGTGTACAGTAATATGCCGAGTTACGTCCCTCCAATGATCAACATTTCAACTTATTGTCAATTGTATCTTTTTTTTCTTTTCCTTTTTAAAATCTTTCCATTATGCAAGCGTTAAAACGGTCTTTTTCTATGACAATCATAGATTTGGCTATACCCACAATGGGGGATGGCCAGAGATGCTACTGCCCTGGCCATTTGAGAAATGGACAGGAAAATAGCACATCTAGAAACAAATCTCAAAGGGCAATTTTTAATTATAACTGTATAAATGATTTTTTCAATCTTAGATTAATTATTAGAGTATGAAACACACATTATGGTTACAGAAAAATGGGAAAAATGATCTTAATTTTAAAACAACAAAGTTAAATTTGATGACAACATAGAACCTGATATTTCATTTATTAAATTCCGAATTAGTGACTCATTTTATTTATATGGCATTTGAAAATGCCGATGATCATTTTTTTAAATTAAACTTGTATTTTATTTTTAAATTAAATTTTAAACTTTGCTGTAAGATTAATTTACTATAGATAGGAACAGTTGTCTGCAGAAAATTAATTTCCATGGTTGCAGATCTGCTATGATAAAATTTTAAATTTTATATGAAATTTAAACAAAATTCAGTTTTAGAAATAAGTACTGTACATACAAAAAATAATTTTTGATTAAATTAATTTATAATTAAAATATATTATGTCATCCCATAAGTACTGTGATTTTTTTCTATACTTTTGAAAATAATAAACAACTTTTTTAATCAATTACAGTATATATTTTCCATAATTTCTACAACAGAAATATTTTCAAAGATGTTTTACAAATTTAGTAGATGTTTCCATTGACCTACTAAATTTTCATCACAGTAAAAAATTCTGGTAGTTCAAATTTGAAAAACTCAGTAAAAACAGTTCTGACTTCATCTGTAAGGCCCATCTGTTTTTCTGCTAAATCATTCTGAGGTGTTCTGAGCAAGTAACAATCTGGTATGATGTCAAAATGATAAAGTGAATCATCTTTTCTCAACCAAACTCTTCCAGTGTCTTAAGGTACATCAAGTAGTGTAGACCTGGCATTATATTTATGGAAGAGGATAGCTAATCAATTGAATAAAGGCAATCATTTTTTCCTATGCCAACTTCAGTTGATTCAACTGTTTGCAGTAAATCTTTATAGTAATTTTTTAGTTTGGAGATAACATTTCAAATTCTTTCATACCTCACCAAATACACCTTTGTCAGAAAAGTTCCAGGACAAAGCTTTAAAAAATAGAAAATTGCAATTACCAAGTAATGATCCTAGCTCCTGTCAAAGTAGTTCCTTCAGTTATCTATACACAATCGCCAATGTTTCTGTAGGTCTTGGAAGCAAGCAGAGAAAGCTTCAAGTGTGATGCTTCTTAGCTCATTTGTCACAGTCCATTGGATGTCTGCGATATTTTGACGAAACGTCCCATCCCTTTCCGTTGCTTTTTCTCTCGCGGAAGCAAGAAAAAAATCACACTTTTCTGACAAAGAGTTGTACTGAAAGGAGCATTTCGTCTGCTTGCTTCCACGAACTCCAAAAACATTGGCAATTGTGTATGGATAGCTGAGGGAACTACTTTGACAGGAGCTAGGATCATTACTTGGTAATTGCAATTTTCTATTTTTTACAAGCTTTGTCATGGACTTTTATGACAAAGGGTGTAGACAGAAAAATCTGCAGGTAAACTCTGTCTTAGCTGAGGTTGATCATCTTGAACAGGACAGCAATTATCTATGTTGCTTAACATTGTGGTATAGTACAGTATTCACTTTTTATCTCTATCATAATTATGAAAGATGAACACATGCTGTCTTTGATGTTGATTTTGCTCTGATAGGTTATATGGGACCCATTTTTCCAGTTTGGATGTCTTTTCAATACTTTTTAAGTGTTGATGAACAACTGAATTGAATGTTATAGCTAATTCTTCAGTTATTGCTGGATTTGTTTCAACTGCACTTCATAACAAATTTTCGTTGGTCATGGATCTTTCTGAATATTGTTCATCTTTTAAGCTGTAATTTCCAGAATAAAATTTTGCAAACCATCCTTGACATTAGCTTACACTGATAATACTGTCTCCATAAATTTTGTTACATCAAGTTATCAACAGTTGCATTATTTCCTTTTTTAAACCAAAACAGCATTATGCCCAAAATGCTCTTTAAAGCCAAGATTTAAAGAGCATATTGGGCATAATGCTCTTTAAATCTTGGACATTTATAACTTTATGCACTTCATTCAAAACTTGATACAGACAAAATAATGATGGACTGATTATCACAGTGAGTTTAACATTTATATGTGCATGTTGTTTATAATTTTTATTAGATATTTGTGCACTTTGAAAAAAAAACTACATTACTCATAGGGTGACTTGATAATTCAATTTTGAGATGTTTTCAATTCAATACTTTAACAGCAATACAGAAAAATTAAATTTTAAATATTGTTATAAAATACAAATTTAATGAAAAAATTATTTCAGTGTGAAAAATTTTATAGTACTACATATTACAATACAGGGTGGACCAAAAAGAATATACGTATTTCAAACTGATATATTTAATAAACTGTAAGAAATACAACTATGGAACTTGGGACACATATTTATGAAACTCTCTAGTTTAGATTACAGGTGTTCAATATGTCCTCCACCAGTGACACGAACGGTCCGGGCGGGAGTTCCATCCGGGTGTCCGGGAACCGGGGTCCGGGCTTCATAACTAACCTGCATCTCAAAACACGCCAAACTGTTGTTTTAGGCAGCTGCAATTCCCGACTTGCACGACGTGTTGATTTTGAAGGGCTACGTTGGTAAGCAGCTTGAATCCGTGCAACATTTTCTTCAGATACACGAGGTCGGCCAGGACTCTTTCCTTTACATACACAACCTGTGTCAACAAACTGACGGTACCATCTGCGAATGTTCCATCCATTCGGAGGATCAATTTCGTACCTCAACCGGAAATGTCTTTGCACTGTAATCACGGAATTACACTTCGCAAGCTCAAGAATACAAAAGCTTTTGTGCTGTGGTGTAGCCATTTTACAACAACTGTGAATACGTCATTGTAACCAATCACAACTGACATCTGGGGACAAACTAGACAATGCACTCGTTCCTCCGATACCCGCAGCACACCGCTACTATCGATAGTTTAATAAATATATCAGTTTGAAATATGTATATTCTTTTTGGTCCACCCTGTATATATATATTTAAATTCATTATATTTGAATTAATTTTTTATATACTTATACTAGAATTACTAGAATAAGTATTTTTATATAGTACCATAAAATCTTTTTAACTTCATTCCAATTTTTACAATATAAACACAATTTATTTATTTGTAACAAATATATTTCAACAAGTAAAACATATACAATTATCACATAATACAATATGTACAATTCATGCTTGTGCAATTAAAATACAAACAGTATCAGAATTTTTCTCTTATTATTTATAACAATAGGAAATTGGTTAATGCAAACCTTAAGTTACAATATAATTTTTGTTTTTAATGTACTTAATTAATAATATACAATTTCTATAACTACTGTGCGTTTTATAATTGACATTTTGTTATTCCAGATAAAAAAATTAAATTGAATATCTTCATTTTATTTAAATACAAAAACATATTTAAACATATATGACATCCAAATATATATAATATATTTGATTTGCCAAAGTACTATATANTCCACCCTGTATATATATATTTAAATTCATTATATTTGAATTAATTTTTTATATACTTATACTAGAATTACTAGAATAAGTATTTTTATATAGTACCATAAAATCTTTTTAACTTCATTCCAATTTTTACAATATAAACACAATTTATTTATTTGTAACAAATATATTTCAACAAGTAAAACATATACAATTATCACATAATACAATATGTACAATTCATGCTTGTGCAATTAAAATACAAACAGTATCAGAATTTTTCTCTTATTATTTATAACAATAGGAAATTGGTTAATGCAAACCTTAAGTTACAATATAATTTTTGTTTTTAATGTACTTAATTAATAATATACAATTTCTATAACTACTGTGCGTTTTATAATTGACATTTTGTTATTCCAGATAAAAAAATTAAATTGAATATCTTCATTTTATTTAAATACAAAAACATATTTAAACATATATGACATCCAAATATATATAATATATTTGATTTGCCAAAGTACTATATAAATTGTGTATATAATATATATTCTATCTATAATTTAGTGGTCCCTATCATGAATATAAAAATGATCTTTTCAGTAATTTTGTTGAAAAGTTGAGGCACTAGCTAATAAATTTATGGCAGTAAAATCTGACATTTGTTCAGCAACAGCAATTTGTACACCAGTGTTTGGAGCAATCGTTGTAGGATGATCCTGATGTTCTCTTTGCTCGACTGTCATTTCACTTGCCACTTCAAGTGACTGTTCACCAGTATGAACAAGCACAGTAAATTTTTCAATTTCTCTATAATCTGCTTGATTTACTTCTACTATGTGATTTAAAGCATCACTTGTAGGTAGTTGAAGATTAGGTGTTTCTGATTCTACTGGCAAATTGACAATATTTGGATGTGGCTATACAAAAATTAATAAATATAAATATAAAAACAGATCTTAATAAAAGTATATTATTTGTTTATTTACAATTATAAGAAAAAACTACAATTAATATAATTTTCAAATATTCCTATAATGTCATTGATAGTAAAGATAACTTATGTTGACCTAATTCAATAATTAAAATACTTGTTAAGAGAGGAATAAATATAATGATAACAGCTGGAGTTAATTAAATACTGTATACACGTTTATAGTTTACTTTTAATAAAAGTAATTATTTTTATTTTTATCTAATCTTATTATATTTCCAAACAAGATTATATTAATTACAAATTGAAATTAATTTAAATGATTAATGATAGCACAGTTGTTAATTAAAAACAAATTTATATTACAAATTTGCAAATCAAGTCATTATCTTCTATTTTTGTATAGAAAAAAGTAATAATGTTAATCTTAACATGTGATACCAGTATTCCTTATTTTTATAAAAATGCAAATTATGAATTTTCTAATGAAGTGTATATAATAATTTATAATGATAATGTAAAAATTTTTCAACATATATCTTCATTTCATTCTTTTTGGATAAAAGTAATAAATTTTTATTAAATTTACAAAATTACTGAATAAAATGATCTAAATAATAATTATTTAAAAAAGAACTGTATGAAAGAAATAATACACTTAAACAATATACAGTAAGACCCCTCTTAACACTGATTCAAGCGGACTGATGCTGTCTGCTCGAAGCCTAAAAAAAAGCTCAAAATTTATGCCGATTCAAATTATTGCAGCACTTCATTGATTCATATATAATACAATTATTCCCAAACACAAACCAATCGGCAAAAGATGGCAATTCGTTGTAGCACTGTACTTCCCTTAAATCTATGTTTGTTTTGTGCAATTTTGGAAAAAATATAACATTACGGATGCCATAGAAAATATAGATTTTGCTTGGCAAGAATTAACTGATAAATGCATGAATGAAGTGTGGAAGAAGTTATGGCTGAAGGTATCCAAGAATTCTCAAGAAGAGCTTATCAATATCGTTAAGTTGATAATTTGCTCAACCTAATCGATACAGCAGGACTAGGAGATGTAGACGAGCAGGAGTTGCTGCTCGTCTACATCTAGTCCTGCTGGTTTCTGGCGAGAGCTTTATCAACGATGACCTTCAAGAACTGGCAGAACAAGGAATTCCTGTAGAACTGGAAAAGTGATTCCGAAAACAAAGAACCCAAAGAATTTCTCTACAGATTTCCTTAGTAAAAGTTTGGTAACATCAACCAAAATCATTGATCAAATTGTAGTGAATGATCCAGATTTTGAAAGAAGTGCAAAAGCACGACAAGATTGGATGTGATCTCTTGCTACTGACATTTGCTTAAGGAAAGAAAAAAGCAATAAATGAAACTACACAGTTTTATTGCAAAAAACAAGAATTTCAGAAGAGCCAGGACCTTCATCACAAAAAATGAACTTTACATTTCTGTGTACATATGTTTGTGTTTTTTAACATATATTATTATGCAAATTAATATAAAAATAACTTAAAACTAAAGTAAAATCTGTTTATTTTTGGTTGCATATTCCCCTTTCCCTATTTACTCGATGTTAAAATTGCTCGTTTAAAGCTGTTTCATTTAGCGCTTTGTCATCTAGGAATGCATCCTCCACGTTAAGTGGGATCTTACTGTATATTGTTACTAAGAAATATATTTATTATTTTTATCATGTCAATTACTGTATTTTTTACAATTTTTTCATAAGTCAATACATCTTTCAATTATATACAGTAGAGCATTGATTATCCGAATACCGATCAACCGAAACATCAGTTAACCAAAATCATTCCAGTCAGCAAATTCAAATTTTTGCTAGGGCTATGGCATTGCAGCACTCTTCCCCTCCCTGCCAAACTGAACTGTAGGCCTACTTTGATGTATTACATTATGTAAGATATGTATTTGTAAGATGGTGTGATACAAATTATATACAGTACAGTTTTGTGTTTAATATATTTTTTTGTTAATGATCAGTTATCCGAACAACCCAATCCTGAATTGTTTCGAATAATCAATGCTCTACTGTATATTTATATAAAATAAAAGAAAAATTTTGCTTTTAATAAATTTTAAAAGAGCAGAAAAAAAGGCCATTAAAGAAAATGCAATATATAAACTATTATTTAAATAGAAGAAAAACAAATAAATCACAAATTACAGTAATAATTTTTAACATTTATTTCATATAAAAATAAGTTATATATGTAAAATTTACAAAAAAAGAAAAGTCAAAGTGAAAATTATTTCAAAATTCCTTGTTTATACTAACGTAACAATATTATTTGATTCTGATGAAACCATGTTGTAATTTACCTTGCTTTTTTTACACACACTACGATGACATTATTCAACACTTGGCAGATTATTCACCACTTTATTCAGTTGGGACGCTATTTACAAGTTGTGTTTCGGGCATTAGCCCTCTTCAGTCAACTAAACATTAAAATAAACCATAAGAAATTATACATATAAATACGCGAGTAAAACATCCCGTAGATACAACATTTAAAAAAATTTTTTTTAAAACATACCTTAAAAGCACATATCACGAGCGTACAGATGTCGTACAAGATGGACAGTTTCATATACTGTATATCAAGTGTGCAATAAACAGATTGACAGTACTCGAAACTGACTGCTTAACAACAGGGCTTTCGAATATGATGTTCTTTAAGTTTATACAAATAATTCAAATAAATAAATTGATGTTTATAAACATTTTTTAACAATATTTGTTTTACCTGTAATTTATATTCATATATTGTACCAAAATTCACACAATAACTGTTGTAACTTTTTTTATGACGAGTTTCATGCACAGTCATCCCAGAGACGCTATTTGGTTAATTTACATATTAATCAGTGAACTTATTTAAAACTATTACATTAAATGTTGTGTACAAACAAATTATTAGTATTTGTTTTGCCTGCAGTTTATATACGGACATCAAATTCACACATTATCAGTTGTAGGTTTTCGTAAAACAAGTCTTGCATACAGTTATCCGAACGATACTATTTGGTCTACTAATTTACATATATAAGTGAGCTGATTTTTGAAACAATTTCAGTATACAATGGAAAATTGTCTACAAACAGGAATTATTATATTAATATTAACTTATATTATTTCCAGATTTTTACAAAAATTTATTTATACATAAACTTTAAACTTTGGTGATTATCGTCATAATTATATCCAACGGTCACCAACTTAATTATAATATTTTTATCCAGTTCTCACTAATTTTGATGCTTAAGTTTTTATTTATACAATTGTTATTTTTATTTTTAATAATCTCAAAACGCTCTTTAAATTTTCTGTTATATGTTTTCTTCTCTTTATGTAGAACCTGTATGTTAGATTTATCTATGTTGCAATCGTTTAGTATACAATGATCATGGAATACTGAGTTTAATCGGTGATACTTCAAATCGGACATATGTTCTTTGACCCTTATTTTTAGTTTGCGTTTTGTTTTGCCTATATAAAAACTGTTTATAAAATACCATGTACATGTAAAACCAACAGCTTTTATATAGGCGAAACAAAACGCAAACTAAAAATAAGGGTCAAAGAACATATGTCCGATTTGAAGTATCACCGATTAAACTCAGTATTCCATGATCATTGTGTACTAAACGATTGCAACATAGATAAATCTAACATACAGGTTCTACATAAAGAGAAGAAAACATATAACAGAAAATTTAAAGAGCGTTTTGAGATTATTAAAAATAAAAATAACAATTGTATAAATAAAAACTTAAGCATCAAAATTAGTGAGAACTGGATAAAAATATTATAATTAAGTTGGTGACCGTTGGATATAATTATGACGATAATCACCAAAGTTTAAAGTTTATGTATAAATAAATTTTTGTAAAAATCTGGAAATAATATAAGTTAATATTAATATAATAATTCCTGTTTGTAGACAATTTTCCATTGTATACTGAAATTGTTTCAAAAATCAGCTCACTTATATATGTAAATTAGTAGACCAAATAGTGTCGTTGGGATAACTGTATGCAAGACTTGTTTTACGAAAACCTACAACTGATAATGTGTGAATTTGATGTCCGTATATAAACTGCAGGCAAAACAAATACTAATAATTTGTTTGTACACAACATTTAATGTAATAGTTTTAAATAAGTTCACTGATTAATATGTAAATTAACCAAATAGCGTCTCTGGGATGACTGTGCATGAAACGCGTCATAAAAAAAGTTACAACAGTTATTGTGTGAATTTTGGTACGATATATGAATATAAATTACAGGTAAAACAAATATTGTTAAAAAATGTTTATAAACATCAATTTATTTATTTGAATTATTTGTATAAACTTAAAGAACATCATATTCGAAAGCCCTGTTGTTAAGCAGTCAGTTTCGAGTACTGTCAATCTGTTTATTGCACACTTGATATATAGTATATGAAACTGTCCATCTTGTACGACATCTGTACGCTCGTGATATGTGCTTTTAAGGTATGTTTTTAAAAAAAATTTTTTAAATGTTGTATCTACGGGATGTTTTACTCGCGTATTTATATGTATAATTTCTTATGGTTTATTTTAATGTTTAGTTGGCTGAAGAGGGGCTAATGCCCGAAACACAACTTGTAAATAGCGTCCCAACTGAATAAAGTGGTGAATAATCTGCCAAGTGTTGAATAATGTCACTGTAGTGTGTCTGTAAAAAAGCAAAAAAATTATTATTTTTTAAAGACAAAAAGCTACTATGATCATAAATCATCCAACACCTGATGCTGAGAAAATATGATCATTATCATCAATATTGTGTTTTTGATAGTTCATTCAATTCACTAAAAAACTGAATTGTATTAATAGTTTTATACTTTTGCTCTAATTTTTTTCATACTAGTTTTTCCATATCAGTACAATTTTTCATATATATTTTCATACTAGTAAATATGCTTAACTATTATATTAATTAAAATAATTATTTTATTATTTGTATATTATTTAATCATATTATTTATATAATACTTATACAAGACAACTGAACTTAGTGCCAATATTTTCAGGATAGATTTCCAAAGTAAGACTAAAATCCTCTATCAGAAGTCACAGCAGTGACTCCCTGCCAAGTAAAAAAGTCACTGACTATATATATAGAAATCAGAGTTGCTGTTATTTGGGGGTAGATTTCTCTGCCCCAAAATGCCTGAAGTAATTCTGAAAATCTTGCTCAAAAGAAAATTGTTTTCTTAGATAGTGTGCAAAATTTCAAGATTTTTTATTATGAGATTACCAAAATACAGTATAAGCAATTGAAAAGTGCAAAAATTGCAAAAAACATGTATTTTCTTCTTTTTCTTCATCCAGCACTACAGATGCTTGTAGAGAAAAAACTATTAGGTGTAGAAAGCTCAAATTTTAAACTTAAGCCTTTCTCATTATCAGCAAGGTGTTCACAAAACTTCTGGGTCATTAGGACAAAGTTCACAGGGTTTCCTCATAGAGCTAATTCAGTTTTACAGCTTAACTTTATGCTTATAAACATAAAATTGCACGGAAACAAATGAATTTTATTTAAAATGTTACTCAGAATTAAAAAAGGTCAAATTTATGCAAATTAAAACTTTTTATAATGCTTTTTCTAAACGGCATATCGAAAGTGTCAGTTGGTGCCATGTTGGTTGGCGATATGTTCAGTTGCAGAGTGCTGACCAAATTGTGCTGTACATCATCATCTTGATTATAACACTTATGTGTTGTGGCATTACAGGAATGGAGTCTTGGAGAACGAACTCATCCGACTTTAGAAAATGAACTCGTCCGCTAGTACTTTCAGTAGTATATAACTACCGTCTTCAGGCAGTCTATCGAATACAACAGATTAAGATTTTCGAACACTAATCCGACAGTTACACAAATTTTTGGATTTTCAATACTATCGAACAATATTAAAAATAAACTATTTCTGCAATCTTTTCTTTCTAATAAGGAAAACCTAAGAATAGCACATCCCCCAATACCCTATTTAGGTCCCATTTCTTTAAAAATTGCACATATGTTTAGAACTAACAGTTTTGTTCAACTAATAACACCACCACCAAGTCTAAGAAGATTACTATGTAATGATAGGGACAGATATCAGTGGAATGAAAAATCAAGAATCTACCAAGTCCTGCTAAAACATGCATTGTCAGGTGAAGAAACCAGTTATGTAGGGGCCACAACTAGAAGGTTATGTTCACGTATTATTGAACATCAAGACGACACCAATAACGGCAGGCCAGTTATAGAGTTAGCAAAGAAAGTGCTTGACCACAATTACCAGCCGCTCTGGAACAAAACAAAATTACTGAAATGCTGCAACAAACATAAAGAGTTATTTGTTTGGGAGAGTCTCTATATTTCTGCCACTGAACCGTGCAACTCCCCAACTCCCGAATTACCAGAAATTTGGGTAACAGCTTTTAAACAACTAAATCCACGATGTTGAAGTCTTTGCTACTCAGATGTATTTTTGACATATTTTATACTTTATGCATGTTCTGGGCTCTTTTACGGCCTTATTCTTTCTAAAACATGCTTAATTAAAACTGTTTTCCTTCCACGTGCTATGATACACAAAATGATTTTTAAATAACATTTAAAAACGGAAAAATCAGTTAATCTGTCGGAAATATTGTTCGATAGTTTCGAAAATCTGAAAATTTGTGAAACCATTGGATTAGTGTTCGAAAATCTTAATCTGTTGTATTCGATAGACCAACTGAAGATGGTAGTTATATACTACTGAAAGTACTAGTGGATGAGTTCATTTTCTAAAGTCGGACGAGTTTATTCTCCAAGACTCCACTCCTGTAACGCCACAACACGTAAGTGTTATAATCATAATAAATGTTGGTGTGAAGTGGCATTGTATTACATCATATATTGTATTATAACTAGTGTTGCAATGAATAGTATATTTGACCTCAGGCCGAATAACAAATATTCGGCCAGGAGCATGGCCGAATAGCCGAATATTCGGCTTGATTAACACACGTACGAAAATTGGTGTGCAAACCGCATTATGGCAAGGATCCTGCTCTCTATTGGCCCGCTGTCACTATGCTTCGCCAATCACGTTAATTCTTGGCAGTTGTAGTGGACAGACAAGAGTGTCATAGAAGTATGTGATAAATGATATCAAATGTGGATAACAATGAAATGACCTATATGTGTAAATAATGGAAAGAGAACAGAGAAGGACCGCGAAGTGAAAATGTGAAAATAAATATGAAATTCAGTTGATAACATAATCGAACAAGTTGAGGCAGCTTATTGGCACGAAATTCGTGGCCGTCAATGCCAAACAATTGTTGTCATAGACTTTGGAAAGCTAAATGCTTGTAATGAAAGTCACTTGGTGTGCACGGGCAAAAGCCTGGGGCCGTTTGGGCTACCAAGCTGTCTCAAATCTGTGAAATCATAACTGCAATGTCCTATCTGTCTCTTTTCTCTGTTATCACCAGGCCGAGTCACGTAATTGTAAAATGTGACGGATAAGTGACGAATTGAAAGTATTGAACGGAAAAGTGACGAATCGAAAGTATCGTGAGAGCGTATTATGATGTATGCATAGGCATACATGGATTAGAGTGATAGAGGAAAGAGAAAGGGAAGATCAAAGACGAGCGCTTAAAAAGAAGGATAAGCAGAGTCAGACCCTCAGATGTGTGAGGTTTCTCCAATGACAGGCGTGTACGTGTGCTGATCTTTGTAATTATAAATTGTCAATACATCTGACTAATATTATTTTCTTTTTTATTTTGTGCATGTTACAAGTTATAAATAAATATAAACAAACAACACTAACCCAACAACATTAAATCTAAATACCAAAATGATTAATTTACTGTGTTTTTGTTATTTATTACTCCTGTTTTTAGGTATTCGGCCGAATAGTGATTAAATATTCGGTATTTGGCCAAATAGTGATTAAATATTCGGTATTAGGCCAAATAGTGAAAAATAGGCCAAATACCGAATAGTAATTTGAATATTCGTTTCATCATCATCATCATCATCAATTGTTTTAGTTTAATAATACAATTATTAAACTAAAACAATTGATATCCAAACAAAAACATCTGAAATGTAAAAAATTTCACCAAGTAAAAATTTATGACAATTTAGACAACAATCAAAATTTTTTCAGAAGTTTTCTTTTGGTAAAGATAAGCTTGGCACTTTAAAGCAAAATGTAGAAAAGCATAATACAGGTAAAAAACTTGTGAGTAGTGCTTTGAAGTGGGCATTATTCTATGACAGCATAATTCTATTCTATGGAAGCATAATTCTATGACAAAGGGGATGGAAAAGCTCATCCACAGATATGACAAATGCCTCAATCTTCACAGTGATTATGTCAAAAAGTAACCATGTTTGTATCTAATTTTTGGAAATAAAATTCATTTTGTAATTTACACTTGTCTTTGTTTTATGGACCATTGAAGCTTGAAAAAACCGCCCTTGTAAATGTCTATAATATCATAATACAAATATACAAATATAAGCTCAATGGTTATATTAAAGCCAAACAATTGCTAGATTAGATTGGGCTATATTACTGCTACTATTAATAATTAAATATGGATTGTAACACAAAAACTTGTTTGGTTTTATCTACTTCCATTTACAAAATTTTTGGAAAAGAATTTTTTCTTAGAAAAAGCATGATATTTTTAATGCCATTATATACAATTTCAATTTTTAAAAATTCCTATATATTTACAAAATATTTTTCTAAGACTTCATATTTACAATAAACAAAAAACACTAATATTTTTTTCTAAATCTAATAATGTGGACTAGTACATGTGATGACTATAGATTAATTTATAAAAAGTTTATTTTTTAATAATTATTTAATCAAAACTTTATTTTAAAATTTTACTTCTACAAAATGCATTTAATTAAATAAATAACCTACTTTTACTAATTTAATACTTACCACAGCCAATTCATTTTCACATTGTTGGGACTGATCCACACCACAATTTGTATTTTGTAGACGTTCATGATGTTTAATGTGCTATTAAAAATAATGAGAATATAAATAAATGTTATCACTTTAAATTTTGAATGAGTATTGTTTTAATTTAAATTATTATTAAATGTAAACTATTTTAAATTACACTACCCAACATGATTTTTACCTTCAAGGAAATAAATGCGGTTTTTTTTTATCAATTCTGATGCTTACATTTTGAATCAGCAAGAAAATGTCAAGTCATGCCACATATTAAAGCCTGTACATCAGGTATCTATGAATTTACCAATGTAACTAGATGATTTAACACCACCAATATTAGGAATTAATATTACAGGAAGCACTTTTAGTAAAGTAAAACAAGCAGCTAAAACATAAAACTGATATCATGTGTTCTTAAACCGACTAGACTGTTTTAAGTGCTTTAAATAAGAACTGAGCTTTAGTGTGGGTTTTGGAACAGTTTATTGAGATTCCTATGACAATGATATTCAAATAAAATAGAACTTCAGGTACACTCAACAAATTAAATTAATCTATAGTAATATAGTTACTATAGATTAATTTAATTTGTTGAGTGTAACTGTTGGCATTCTGCTATAATTGGACAAACTATGATAATTTTTGTATTCAGAACATCAGATATAGTTGGCTAAAGTAGGTATCTGCCTCCACTGATTTGTTAATGGGCAAAAAGATAATGTATCTTTTAATTTATTCTTTTATTTCATTCTGTTTTCATTTTGCCATGTATTATAACTCTTAGATACAAATAATATTAATATGAGTAAAAGTCATATTCAGCTTGTACAACATCTTTTTTGCAGAGCTTTTGATATCCTACAGGATCATAATATGGTTCAGATTCCATTCTGATATATTATCCAATGCATCAGATTCCCATTCTGATATAGCAGCCAATGTTCAAAACAATGTAAATAAAGAAACAAAACTATATTAGAATGATTTTCATAGGTACATGTGCTATATCAATAAGCTATTCTATTATTTCTATACCATTATACAAAGATGTGTATAATGGTACACATATGCTACCTTTTGATGCATGATAGGAAAATCTGAAAGTGATTTTTGAAATCAGGAGGAATTTTTTCTATGAGAATTACCTATTTTAACCCCTAATGTATAGTACTTATTATTTTCTCAAGTATGTAAAAGTGGTCATGGGTGTTTTGAGGAATCATTGTCAGAAAAGTGTAATATTTTTTCTGGCAGAATCTTTTGTATCATATAACTTGATTAAAAATGGAGATGTGATGCTTGTCTGGTAAGACCTACATTTGCAATTCTGTTCAAAACTGCCAGATTGAAAGTACAAAGAAAATACAAAGTTTATTGCATGTTGAAGGAACAATATTAGGACCTGAGGACATGCACTAATTGATGTATTTTGAGGCTTTCTTTTGTACAGTATCTAGTAAACTGTTGTCAAAAATGTGTTTAAATATTTGCAGCACATCATCATAATCAATGGTTGGACCAGGATTGCCAGAAAATGTAAACCAAAATGCTGCAGGAGAAACAAAAGGTTGTGTTGACATTTTGCCATATTCTCATCTGAGACAAATTCACTTCACTTCCATCTTCACTTTCTTCTTCAGTGGTAGATAGATCAAAAGGATCACTGTCAGTTTCACTAAAATTGAAAGTGTCTTCACTATCCATATCAATTTTATCCATTTTTATTCAAAAACATGGGTATAACTTAGGCTGCAAAGTTTCTCTTAGAAAAATCATATGACAAAAATACCAAGATACTACATCTGGAATGAGAAAAGAAAAAAAATCAATAGTCTGACTTAATTCAGAATGATATTCTAAAACAAAACAGTCAAGTCTGAGTTAACTTGGGATAGTATGTTAGAGAATTAATGCAGGAGGTATAAAAAGAACATTTTTGTTGGGTAGTGCTATAATATATTTTTATGAGTTATTCTTAATTTAAAATTATTTATTAACTTAGAATCTTAATAAAAGCTTAATAAATATTTTTATAAACAATTTTTAAAATAGTTTAATAAAATAAAATCAAACAAATATAATTAAAACTGTTATAAGACTTCTTAAATATATAAATTCTTCTTACTATTATTCAAAAAATAAATTTGCAATTCAAAATAAATAATTTATTAAAACTAATTACTAATTCTTTCTTATTCATATGACTACAATCAAGCTATCAAATACCTTATAACATGCAGACATTTCAGCAAAACCCTTCATACAATATTTACATTCATATGGTTTTAAACCATAATGGCGATTAGTATGTTCATTAAGAGATTGTTGACGAGTAAATGATTTTCCACAGATTTCACAAACAAAAGGACGTTCTCCTGTATGTATCCTATTATGTCTTTCCAAATCTCCTATTCAAAACAAAAATTTTAAATAAAATAAGTCCTATGAAATAACTAATGTTATTGCTACAAATTTTTACATGTATAATAATAATCATTACATGTATTTATTAATTAAACTAATAACAGAACTTTGATATTAAAAAGATAATTGTTAATATCTTTTTAATATGAAATTTCTTTCAATACTTTCATTGAATTAACAAAAAAATAATTTAGTCATTAACCAAACAGTAATTTTATTTAAATCAATATAAAATTCTCATAGGGAGGAATAATAACTAAAAAACATTAGATCAAATTTTTGCCTTAGATCCTGATATTAGTTACAAAATACATGAAAAACTGACATCTGATCACTGCATTGATATAAGCATTTATCCATTTAATCTCTATTCATTTAAGCTATTTAATCTCAACTGTATAATAAATTTCTGCATCTTCAATGAGACTTGAAAATATGTACAGTATAGGTAATAGATGAAGGAAAAGAAATTATATCTTGATATTAAATGTAATATCTAGACTCATTCACTTTCTTTCTTGTATCATATCATATTATTCATATCACATTATTAACCACATTATCAATCAAATTTTAATACACAAATCTCCAATCCTCATTTGACAATGAAAATATAATTGGTGATATACCATAAGTAGCCAACATCACTGAGAAATTTTTATACCAACTGTTTTTATAATTACTCTTTTGCTTAGCCAGTATTCTAATTTTTGGAAATAAAATTCATTTTGTAATTTACACTTGTCTTTGTTTTATGGACCATTGAAGCTTGAAAAAACCGCCCTTGTAAATGTCTATAATATCATAATACAAATATACAAATATAAGCTCAATGGTTATATTAAAGCCAAACAATTGCTAGATTAGATTGGGCTATATTACTGCNTCAACCTAAACAGATAACAGATTGTATGTTCTCATTTACAAAAAGTCAAATTGATTAAATAAAACAATGTTAAATTACTAGCATCAAAACTTTGTTTAATTAGTTAAATTTAAAGTGATCATCTGAAATATATTTTTAAATTTAGAAAATTTTACTGTGAAGAATTTGATGTAATAAGTTGTTACATTTAAACAATGCATTATAATACAATTTATGTGATATTTATAATTAAGAACTTAATTTTAATTTATAAAATTAAAAAATTATTATTTTATTAATAATTATTACAATAAATAATCTGTAAAAAAATTTAATACGAAAAAGTTTTTATGGAAATTGATTTAATTGACCTACAAACCCCTTGCACACTTTTCCAACTGTAAAACATGTGCAAGGTGGTTTGTAAGTCAATTAATAATTTCAGTTTGAGTAGAACTTAATAATTTTTATGGAAAATTTCACTAACTATTAATTAAATTTTTTTATGCAAGTATTACATTAACTTTCTTTTATACTGAAATGATTTTGTATTTATAAGTCAGTAGTATCTATGTTATTTTTGGGTAATATCAATTATTATTTATCATGAAACTAATTTATATAATATTGTATAACAGTTCCATGTATGATATAAATTATTAAACTTTATTCCAAATAAATAATTAAAACATTAATATTTACCTTTTGTTAGAAATCTAGCAGGACAAAAAGCACAAGCATATTTTCTAACACCTTCATGCCTTAGCATATGAAGGCGGAGTTGTGATTTTTGACGAAATGACTTTCCACAATGTTCACATAAATGAGCTTTCTGATCTAAATGCATTGCCATATGAGTTTGAAGAATACCAGTTTGAGCAAAACGTTTTCCACATACTTGGCACCTTGAAGTTACAATTTCATTTAATTAAATTTATTTTAATATATCATCTACAAAAAAAAATTCTAATATGCTACAATAGTCAACTTTCAAAATTAACTACACATCAAAGTAATTATAATGTACCATACTGTCTTATGGCATTAAAAATAACCTTTTATTCAAAACTGCAAGTATTGTTTGATCTAATTCCAATTGAATCCACCTAAGGAGGATAGTTCCAAGTTACTGAAGGTACTTGCAATTTTGAATAATGCCATAAGACAGTGAGTACATTACATCATACTAAACTCTCTTTTTGAATAATATTAAAATAAAAATAAATTCATCATTTTTAAAATCACAGAAATGAACAAATTTTGCTTATTCAATATATTTTCAGACCACTTTTATAATGTTTATTGTATAAATTGTAAGAATAAATTAAAAATTATGTAACATATTTTTACTCTAATACATGCAAATATTTTTATGTTTATGCATTTGTATCTAGTAAAGATCATTATCTGGAATTAATCTTTTGGAGTTATATATTAAACATGTGTAGAACTAGTACAATTCCAAATGAATATGCGAGTAGTGGGATTGACTATTTTAAATATGTTTTGCTTTCAACTGTGTTGCTAGTATTGAGTTTAATCTGTTATTGTATTCTTTTGTTAGTCTCTGTTTGAATTGTACATATTCTTTGAGTTTAGTCTGTTGGAGTCCTAAATATCTGTAGTCATCTCCCATACATGGATCCGTGTCTCTTTTTACTCTGACTTTTTTATTTGCTATGCCAAATTCCATTTTTGTATCAGTGGAGTATGTGTAATTTTTAACAGGTGAATTAGTTGTACATGGGTAATTATGTAGTGCTTTCTGTTGTTCATGTACAGTACACGATGGGATTGATATGTATTATACTATTTTGTTGTATTTGATGTCATATCCATACTTTTCATTGTTTGATCTGTTCCTTGCTATTCCCAAAATATTTTGGGCTGAAACATGATGACTAGGGTTTCTCATTTCCCGGTCTTTTGCTTGTCCCGGGATCCCGGGATAAAAGTGAACTGTTTCCCGGGATCCCAGGATAGAATTAATTATTTTTAATGTATACAAAATATCTTGAAATCAAATGATATAATTATTTTCCATTTTTTAAAGTAATTTTAAAGTTCTGTAACCTCCAAAATCATATTAATAATGCTGTGTAAGGTCTATAGGCCTATAATAAAAATTACCTTTAAATAACGNGGATACGTCATAAAATTTGAATATAATTTTGCTCCACAGTACGAACAAAAACTCACCATACGATGTTACATTAGTTTGCAGTGCCATTTTTTATTCACTTCTGTTCATTGGTCTCAGTCCACGTGTTTGCTTCGTCGTGGAAGGATCCTGCTCGATAAAGGAAATCTTGAGGTATTATCAGAAAGTGACTGATTTTAATGAAAATAAACATCCTGAAAAAAGTTCACACTGACCGTATTGCTGCTCAGAGTAATGACATTTGCCTAAGTCATTTTAGAAACATTTAAAAAGTAGGCAAAGCCAAACCTCTTTGGATAGATATTTTACCAAGCAACCTCTATCCAGTGAAAGTGCTGGTGGAAGTGAAAGTAAGAAAGCAAAAAGCAGTGAATAAAAAAATTTAAAAAAATATATAGAACTGAAAAGTTAAAAAATTAGTGTTACATTATTTTTAAGTTATTGTTACATTATGTTATGTAAGTTAAGTTTTAGTATTATTTCCCTTCTCCCTCTCCTCAGCCACCAGTTTACACCTCCACCATCGTCTATCCTGAAAGGTAAAGTGCAAATAAAACTAATTTTTGTTTTTTTTTTATCAATTATTATTCTATTACAGTTATTTATACATTTACAACTACAAAATGCATTTTTTAGTGGTTTCCTTACTAAAGTTTTTTTTTCAATGTACTACTTATCTTTAATTTGAGTGTGTTTTTTGTGTTGGAGTGGATTATTTGGTTTTACATGTAATCCTATGGGGAAAAATTATTCACCTTACAACATTTTCATGATACAATCTCAGTTTCGGAATGGATTAATTTCGTATCCTGAGGTACTACTATACTACTTTGTGTATTCTAGAAATATAATAAGGATTGACTGTATTTTGTAAAGTTATGCAAAAATGATGAATGTGAGATGCTGTCAAATTCTTTTTTGTAATTTATATATACTGTACAGAGGTTTATATGTACTGTACATTGTCATAGAGTAATTGAATCTCAAGTAACTGTTTTTTGCATCTTTTGTTTCTATAACAGCTTTTTTTTTGTTCTGTGAGAATTCTTTGTTGTTCTGTTTGCTTGTAATATTTTATTTATGATTCAAGATATGATTATTTTGCATAAAATGTTGGAAACAAGTGATCAATCTGTATTATGTAGGATCTTTAGTATTGTGCTTTTGCATTTTATGTATGTGATTCCCTGTGTATGAAATTGGCATGTCTTTGTGGATTTTTGACTGTGCATGTAAAATATATAGTTAGTTTCTGTGCATAGATGTAAATTTTTTGTACCAGAAATTATGATTCTTGTCTACACTGCATATTCTTTGTACTGTATTTTGAATGTTATATATGTTTATGTCAACAGAGGGCATGATTAATTTGTCAGGCATGTATTGTTCTTCCTCCTTGATCCAGTTTGCTTCATCTTTGCTTCACTGGACTGGATCAAAGAGCAGACCAATAGTCTAAGTTCTTTTTCTGTATAAATGCAACAAAAAAAGTTTATTATATGGTGGTATGTTTGTTATGTAGTTATCTATAGAAAAATGTCCCATTGTTTATGAACAATTTATTTATTCTTTTCATAGCATGCAGGTTTTGTATTATTTGAATCTTTGTGACATGGCTGCATGTTTCTGTTAGAGTGTCAATGAATTCCTGTAAATGCGTGTTGTTTGTGTTGTGTGCATATTTTAATTTTCCTGCCTTCATCTTATTGGTTGAGAGCCACAGTGAGGGAGCTCATTTCAATTGTTGTTCAAATTATCATCATTATTGTATAACATTGTATAAACCTATATAATAATAATAAAAATTCAGCAATGAGTTGCTTAACTTTTCCAGCAACATTTAAAATTTTGGTAGTTCTATCTGTTATGATATTTAACTTATAATTTTTTATATTTTATTTTTAATTACATAAAATGGCAAAAAAACTTAATTTTGAGGGTAAGGATGTGTTTCATAAAATATTGTAAATGCTAATAACAAGTAAAATCATCATTAAGTCTGACCCTATTTGAGATATAATCCCCTTTATCTCCCCACCCCATTAACCTTTAACCACCAAAAGTTAATAGCATCAATCCCCTAATACACAAACTCTTTGCAAAATTCAGAAAATTTTGACAAGAAGCAAAGGTGTTATTAAATTTCAAAAAGGGTGAACAAAATCATGCCCTCCACACACTAACATCCATATACAGAGATACCTCAGTTTTCGCTGATCTGTCCAAAAACAATCAGTAAAATCCGAAACTGATGAAAACCAAGACAATTATTTCCATATGAATCAATGTAAATCCAATTAATTTGTTTTAGACACTCCAAAATACATACCAAAATTTTATAGCGAATAAATATAGTGTTTAATACTAAAAACAATAAGAAATTAATATAAAATGAACTCAAAAGACTAATGTAAAGAATAAACAAATAATTAACATAGCATTCGAAGGGCTGCTGACTCTAGAAACTTTCTTTGGTCCCATGATGGAACTAAAAGGAAAGAAAAGCAATGGAATTGTTTGGCTAGACACACAGATAAATACTCACACAACGAGAAACACCACCACACTGAGCAGGAAAATGCATGGGTTGACCTTTGTTTTGCAAAATTAGCAGCGATGTCACAGCGGTGAAATTCAGAGCACACTGATGAAATCAAAGGCAACCAACAAAAAACTGAGACAAATTTTTCGTGAAAAAAAAAAAATTGACAAAAACCGAAGTATCACTGTATACAGGGAAAAACACCCAAATTTTTTTACATTTCTTGATGTTTCAAGGTCCTAAGTCCAAAAATGTAAAAATCTTAGGGGGTCATTTTTTGACCAATTGCCATTCTTTCCCTCTGTTATATATAACAGAGTAATAACAATTTTAAAATATTTAAACTATGTAAACTGTAAGAATAATGATTATTTCAATGCTACAATTCTTTGTTTCTAATCTGCTGAACATACTAATGTTTCTTAGCATCTGATTTAGCTTTAATTCTAGCTGATAACATTTAATTTGCTCAATTCACTTCATTCAAACTCTTTGAAGAAAAGTAATTATATCTGAAGTAATTATATTAGATAGACCTTATCTACTTATAAAATTTTATCCATTACCTTCAAAAACTTATTGTGAATCTAGTATTATATACAATCATATAGAAATATCATTAAGGAGATTAAAATATTAAAATCTTAATCTGAGATTGAGATATTAATTGTACTTCTTGTATTTATAAATTATTTCTGTTTTCATTTAAAATGAACAAATACAGTCAAACCTGTCTATAACAGAATCTGAATTTAGCAAAAATCTGTCATTAATGAAAAATTTCTTTGGTCACTTGAATATTTTGCAAAAATTAATGTAAATTAACCTGTATATAGTGGAACCTGTCTAACGTGGAAACGGAAAGGTAAATTGGATCATATGACAGAAAAATCAGTATCTTTATCTGATTTAACAAAAATTTAACAAGTAGTTTACAAGCCTACCATATATATCATAAAAAAGTCTAAAAATACACATAGCCAATACATGCCCCAGAATAGCAAAATACGACTACGGTATTACAGTAATTTTATTGGGGATTTGAACAGAAAGCTTTTGTGTATTTTTATTAACAGCTGTTTTTACTTAACATAATTACTGGTACATCACATATTTATAAGTTGTGAAATTTAACACATTATTCCTGATGAGATTGTATACTTTGTTTTGAAGCTTGTTTTAAACCTTTTTACATCACATTT